ACACACACACACACACACACACACACACTCACATTCGCAAACCTGTTTGTTTACTTGTTTGGGGTGGGATGGTTAAGTATTATATTGACAGTTGCATGTTTTAATTAGGTCAAACTTATATTTGTTATGCATAATGTGTTATTTATAAAATTTATACTACTATTTTTAAGTCAGGCTTCTCGGATTCCTGTGTTTTGTAACTGTTCTACTTTTGATATCAGTAAGTGCTGGTATTTCCATGGTTGCAATTGGAATTAAATAAACAGAAGTAGATGGGCAAAGTCATTTTATTTTTCATGTGTTTGAATTATACTAAAATGAAAATTCTATGGATAGTATAAACAACGGTTTTCTTCTATAGAGGAATTTTGATATATTCAGTCATAGCTAAAAAGACATTTGCTTTTTAATGAAACTGTAGTTTGTAATTTCTATGATTTTTAAAATTTTTGCTGAAAAACTAATTGAATTTAAATTCTACAACAGACACCTTCTTACCTTCGGCACTCATATGACCTAATTGTGTTGCAAGTGCCGTAAGATTCTTACTAAAACAAACAAATTGTTTTTGAAATGGTGTCCCCCATAACTTGTTTCACGACGCAGTGGAATCAGGTGCTCGTCAATTTTGGGGCATGTGGAGTTATTGGTATCTTCCAAAAGCTGATTTATTTGCCTCGTTCACAATGAAATAAATTTCCATTTATCTTGAATAGAACTCAAGATATGTTGCAATTGAAGGAAGTGAGGTCGCCTGGTTTCAGGGGTGAAATTAGCGAGAAAATGGCCAACAAAGTTTGGTAACTCCAATAGCTAAAGAGTCCTTGAAAACAGGAAAATTACATATTTTGTGCCTTTAATCAATGTTTTTCAGCAAAATTCACATGGAAATGTGTTTTTATATGAACTTAAAAGAGGTTGAGACAAAAAATAAAAATTCGATAAAAATGTCTAAACTGATGGAAAAATGCCTGTTTCTCCGATTTCTGTATTTTGACGAGCTCTTGATTTCACCATGTTGCCTCACATTTTGTTTGGTTCAGAGGTCATGTGCCGAGAGAATTCGAGGAGAGGCGAGGAAGAAGTGGCTGTCCCAGATTGTCTCGACGTCACAGACCAGTGGAACATCCCTGGACCCAGTGTATAAAGCTGTGTTCCAAGCCTTGTACAAGGTAACAACAACAACAATAATAGATAGCGTCTCTGCCGTGCCAAGGCCGATCGAGCGACGTATCTCCAAAAATTATTCATTTTTGCGTCTTCGTTGAAATAGACGCCTACACCCATTCTGCATCTTGTGTCAAAGGCAGGGAGACGCATCTGCACTACAAAAAGGATATTTCACTCTGGCAAACAGACGTAACTGAAGGGCCATGCCCATATTTCCAATGGCAGCGTGACGGAACTCAGAATCATAAAAAGTGTAGATATGTTGTTCTGCCTTGGCATGACAGATCTATATAGCGCAAATTCCTCAACAGCAAGCTCTATGTGCTTTACAATCTATGTTAGGTTTGTCGTTGTTTTTAAAAATCTCAAATGTGTCATATGATCTTTTCTCTTTGAGTCTGATTTTGTCATGTTTCATTTTGTCTAATTCTATCATGTGTTATCATTATATTTTCTATTCTTATCATATTTTATCTAGTCGTTTCATATGTTAAAAATAGATTTATTTTATTGAGTCTCATCACCTCTTATAATAATTTTTTCTCAGTTTTTTATCCAAGTCTTACAATTTTTTTCCCTAATTTTTTCTAATCTTCCTCCCCTATTTCCATTTGTCGCTTTGATTCTTTTATAAATCTGAGGGGTGGTTGACGGGCACTCTGGTGTGGTTCTTTCCTATCATACAACTGTCGTCCTTGTCTCTCCTCCTCCTTTCTTGTGTTTGTTACTCTCTTGTAACACTTCTAATCTTCGGCACTTATGTGACATTGTATTGCAAGTGCCTGAAAGCTCTTACCAATCAAAATCTTATGGTAGGGCATCTTATTTTATCTCAATTGTCATATTTCATCTTGGTAAAAATTTTACGACACTTTCAACCACATAACGTCATATTTTGTCTTGGTGAAAATTTCACGACACTTTGAACTGCATGTAGTCATGTTTCATATTAGTAAGAATTTAACTATGCTTTCTGGTAAAAATTTTACCACTCTTTCAACTAGGTAAGGTCATATTTCATCGTATCGTGGTATATATTTTACTACGTTTTCTGGTAAAAACTTTACACCGTTTTCAATTACGTTAGGTCATGTGAGCGTGATAATAATATATTTCATCTTGTCCAGGACGCGGAGGCGCACGGTGGGGAGAAGAGCATCAGCGCCAGCGTTTCCATGCTGGAGCACAACCACATCGAGCCAGGCCGGGGCGATCTCCTGCTGCGCTACGCGGCGTGCACCCCCGAGGACTGCCAGTACATGCTGGGCAAGGCCCTCTTCCACAACCAGAAGGGAATCAGGTTAGAATTTATGATTTTAAAAAGATTATCCACATTTGAGGCACCGTGGTGAAATCAGGCGCTCGTCAAAATAAGGAAATCAAAGAAATCTGCATTTTTACTCTTGTTTTGGCAATTTTTATCAAGTTTTTGGCTTTTGGTACAACGCCTTTTACATCCGTTTAAAAACGTGTTTTTTTCTGAAATTTACTGAAAAGAGTTGATAAATGGCACAAAAAATGTAAATTTTCGTTTCCAGTTACTTTCAAACTCTGGAATTCTCTAAACTTTGATGGCCTTTTTGTTTCTAATTTTACCTCTGAAACTAGGCAACTCCCATATTTTGCTTTCCATTCAAGATAGACGGGTATTTTTTTCATAAAAAGCAAGAAAAATGAACAAGTTTTAAGATGATAACTCCAGGTGCCCAAAAATTTACGAGCTCCTGACTCCACCGCGATGTGACACATTGATTGCTTATAAAAATTATCCACACTATTTATTATAATCATCCATCTATTCTGAGGTCTGGCTTCTTGGATTCATGTGTATTGTAACTTCTTTTTATATCGGGTGAGTGCTGGTATGTCCGTGCTTGTAAATGGAATGAAGTGAGCAGAAGGAGACGGGGCTAAGTCATATTGTTTTTCATGTGTTTGGATTATGGCTGGCAGATGTTGGTTACTTAGAAAGAGTGACACTTTGATTTTATAATTATCCATCTATTTTGAGGTCAAACATTTTTGGATTCATGTGTATCGTAACTAACTGCTTTTGATGTCAGTGAGTGCTGGTATGTCCGTGCTCGTAAATGGAATAAAGTAAACAGAAGGAGATGGGCCAAGTCATATTGTTTTTCATGTGTTTGAATTATAGCTGGCAGATGTTGGTACGAGTGAAATAAAGCCAAACCTGCTGTGACAGCCACTGTCCAAGAAACTCACCTGCGTTACTGCTTTCTCCTTTCTGAAAACGATGACCAATGTAATTTAATCTGATAGTTTATTGTTGTTTTTGAATTTTTTCTATTTCTCTTGTCATTTATTCACATTGATTCTCTTTAGTGTGTCTCTCCTTTCTGAAAACAATGACCGATGTAATTTATTCTGATAGTTTATTGTTGTCTTTCATTTTTCTCTATTTCTCACTTCATTTATTCCCATGTATTCTGTTCAGTTTCCAAGCCGTGGAAGGTGGGAAGCCAGTGCATGTTCCTCGTGTGGCCAACCACGGCAACATCTATTTCTGGAATTTTGACAGGATGCCAGAGGTAGGGGGCTTGATAGAGACGTCTCACGTAAAAGACTTTGTAAAGAATTTAAAACAGTCACATTGTAAAGAATTCAGAGCGATCACACAGCGAAGAATTTTGAGAGAACACTTTTTAAAAATATCTTAAACCGTCATTTGTTTTTAAAAATTTAGATTGAACTCTCTTCCAAGAACTTGGAGTGATCACTTATATATTGAAGAATATAGTGCAGACATGTGCGTACAGAAAAGGTCTTAGAGCAATTGCGTATTTTGAATATTAATTTAGAGCAATCACATTTAAGGCTATTTCATAATAAAGAATCTAGAGCAATCACTCCCTTAGTCAAAAGTTTAGAGCAATTACATAAGTACCCAAGAATTTAAAGCATTCGAATACTGTATTGAAGAATTTAGAGCAATCAATTATGAAGAATGTATATGTAGATGTAATGAGATTTTTGTAGACAACTAAAGATTACCAGACTTGTTTCGAATGACAAGGGTTCAAAACCATAAGAGGCTTAACGAATGAATGTTGGGAATTTTTCTTCATGACTATCTTGCAAAGACTTGAAAAAAGCCCTTTCAGTTAATATTCTGGAAGCTTGGTTGGCAAAGGTGTATATTACATACATTCAATGGTGTGAGTGTCATACAGTCCTATCAGTTGAAATACCCTAACACTGTGTAAGCAGCTGGAAGATCTAAGGATAAAAAGGTAAACTCTCAACAGGTGCACAATTCTTTGTTTATGACTAAGTTAAAGAGATCAGAAATCGATGTACAGAAAAGTGGGAAGACGTGGAATAACATCAAGAGGCTATCCCAGGATAGAGAAAAGTGGAGGGTGTTTGTCCGTGGCCTATACCCTGATGCAGGGTGAGAAAGGCAATGAAGTTAAAGAGATGTGGTGTCATGTTTATGTCAACATAATCACCTCATGGAAGCATCCCTTGACTGTTCTTTTGTCCCACAGGACCGAGAGGGCTCCTTCATTGTTGTGCCTTTGAAAGATAAGAAGAAACGTGTCTTTGGTGTCCTCGGCATTGACACCCTCTGTGACTCACACAAGAAAGCTATCTTCATCACGCATGAAATCCAGTACTTCCAGGTAAGACAGTACATAAAGAACTCTGCAGACGGTTAGAAATTCCTTCGGGAAGTTCTGCTTCTCCACTTAACTGTTGCAGTTAAACTCTCAATTACTTTTTTGTTGAATTCTTGGGCTGTTTTTCTTGTTGCTGTGGGTGGATGGAGGGTAATAGTGACATGTCATGCTGGTTTTTTTTTTATTTCTCCCTTGTTTCTATCTGCCTTTTTTCCTCTCAATTTTCTGTCTTCTTATTTTCAGTAGAATTGTTATCAGTATTTGTTTGTGGCAGTAATGTGACTTATTTGGTTCTTTGTTGCATTCTAAAACACCAAAATGGCTCAAGTTAGTTGGTAGATGTGGTGTACAGAAATACAGTCAAGCACACTTGCAAAATGGGCAGGACACAGACATTTGTTGTTTTGTATGATGTTTCAGTAAGTACGTGTATTAAATGCAAGGAATATACATAAATGTGTATGAAAAATTCTGGACCTGAAAATCTGTTCGCTATGTGTATGCTTCACTATGCACATATTTGCTTTGTGTGTGATAAACTTTAGTGAGAAAGTGTGTCCAGAAATCAATGAAACACTTCCAGATGGGTGGTTGGTGGGTGCTCTGGTATGGTTTGCTTCTTCTTTCCTATGAAACATCTATCGTCCTTATCTCCCCTTCTTCTTTTTTATGTTTGTTACTCTCTCGTAACACCTCTAATCTTCTGGCGTTCATATGACCTTATGCAGTTGCGAGCGCCGTAAAACTCTTACTAAAAAAACCACTTCCGACACCTTCACTCGCTTGTGTCTCAGGGCGTGGCAAAGTGCTTCAGCATCGCGTACCACAACGTGGATGTGCGCAGGAAGCTTCTCCGCATCACAGAGAGCGCCATCTCGTGGATTCAGCGCCGGTGCCCACACATCTCGGAGATTACCGTGTACGTGGTGGAGCCCAGCACCAAGGCAGGCGGGGAAGCTGTGCTCCGTAAGATGATCTCAACAGACCAGAAAGGTCAGGCAGTACAGATCACTGAAGTTGTCAGGCTGGAGCGGAAGGATAATCTCTTCAGGTAGACCTGGCTGTGTGTGGTCGTGAAGAATTTTTAATGAAAATGTCAAGGGGAAAGACAGCTATGTCATACGCATACATTAATCCTACCACAATTTAACCTGTCAATTGTTTGGGTGGACTTGGCTTGTGCTTTTACTTAATTTGTTGTTTTACAGATACAGTTTGTGAATGACCTAGTTGGTCACCACACTAGCAAGATGACACATCTCATTTTAGCTACTTTTGAGATGAATTGAAAAAACAAACATGTTTAATAAGACTGTTTATCGTCTTATAATAGTAAAACTTTTGTGCATGTTTCTCACGTGACTGTCTGCTCATTTTTGTTTTGGTTTTACCAAAAGATAGAAATACTACCACTAAACAAAATAACAGGTATGTTGCATTTTGGCACAACTTTGAGTTGTTTTTTTTCCTCTTGATTAATTTCATAGCGTAGGGATATTCTATAGGTACTGTTGCAAGTTAAGGGCTAGTGCCCTGATTTTTTTCTATAAAAGGACTTCCCTCTCAACACTAAGCCTCTACTCCTCCAGAGACTATCTCCGCGTGCCCTCCTTCCTCCAAACACAAATCTTTTACCTCTCCAGAAACTAGCTCTCTCTGTTTTCGTTCCCTCAAACACAAACCCGCTATCTACCTCTCCCTCTCTCCTCCTTCCCTCCAACACAAACCCGCTATCTACCTCTCCCTCTCTCCTCCTTCCCTCCAACACAAACCCGCTATCTACCTCTCCCTCTCTCCTCCTTCCCTCAAACACAAACCCGCTATCTACCTCTCCCTCTCTCCGATTTCTCTCCAACACAAACCCGCTATCTACCTCTCCCTCTCTCCTCCTTCCTTGAAACACAAACCTGCTATCTACCTCTCTCTCTGCTCTCCTTCCTTGAAACACAAACCTGCCATCCACCTCTCTCTCTCTCTCTCTCTCTCTCTCTCTCTCTCTCTCTCTGTCCTCCTTCCCTCAAGCACAAACCTGCTATATACCTCTCCAGCGACTATCTCTTCAAGTGTCCTCATTTCCTCAAACACAAACCTGTCATCTAACTCTTCCTCTGTCCTCCTTCCCTCAAACACAAACCTGCCATCTACTTCTCCTCTCTCCTGAGACTATCTCTTCAAATGTCCTCCTTTCCTCAAACACAAACCTGCTATCTGTCCCCATGATCCCCTTTCCTTCAACACAAACCTGTCCTCTAACTCTTCCTCTGTCCTCTTTTCCTCAAACACAAACCTGCCATCTGTCCCCATGATCTCCTTTCCTCAAACACAAACCTGCTATCTGTCCCCATGATCCCCTTTCCTTCAACACAAACCTGCTATTTTCCTCTTCCTTGAAACACAAACCTGCTTTCTTCCTCTTCCTTGAAACACAAACCTGCTATCTTCCTCTTCCTTGAAACACAAACCTGCTATCTACCCCTCCAGAGACTATCTCTTCAAGTGCATGGACAACTCGGAGACGGTCACGGCCGATGCCTACGGCAAGCGGCACACTGCGTCCCCCCTGAGGGACAACGACGGGAAAGCTCTGGGTGTGGTGGACATCAGCATTGGCGACATGAAGAAGCTGCCGCCGTACGAGAACAAGGAGGCCCAGAGGATGCTGCGACTGCTGCAGCAGGCTCACAGGGAGATCACCAAGGAGGCGGAGGGAGATGAGACCACACGGGTCTTAGGTAATGAAGTTTTGTTTTGTTTGTTTTTGTTTGTTTTAGTGAGAGTTGTACAGCATAGGTAGCTCATTTTGTTTGTTTTGTTTGTTTCAGTAAGAGTTTTATGGCTTTGATAACTCGTTTTGTTTGTTTTGTCTGTTTTGTTTGTTTTAGTAAATTTTATGGCCCTCATAATACAAAAAGGTCATAATATAAGTCCCAACTTTTAGAGGCAATTCGATGCCTCATTACAGTCAATTTTTCCAATTGGTTGTAAATGTTTTGCACCACCTTTGCCACAATTTAAATCTTTTAGGAGATAGGCAGATAGGAAGGAAAAGAAATCAAATGAGGTAGTGCTTGATGAAGCCCA